TAAACTCCCAAAATTAAAAAGATCTCAGATAATACCAGTTTCTGTCCACTTTCTGACTAGTTTCTGTGCGACATCATGTGAAATTGTGAGGAGCAAATTCACTTTTTGTTTGGGATTTGTGTGGATTAACCAACAGATTTCCCCTGTGTGATAATGTCCTTGGTGATGGCGGTTAGGCATTAGGTTGGAATAGCTAGTTTAATCATGTTATTGTGATTTGTGATGGATGATTGATTTATGATGATAACTTGTGATTTATGGTCTGGTTCACCAGGATAATTGATTACAAGTGATGACATCTGAATGATTTATGATGATTTATTTTAATTTATGCCATGAGCATTGACATATGCTTGATTTATGATATGATTTATGGCCTGAAAATTAAGACGTGATTTATGGTTTATTTGACAGTAACATTTATGACATGGGCGTGTACATATATGTCAAACTGGTAACAAACAATATGATTGATTTATGGCTGTCAAACTGTGATTTATGACTTCTGTACAGATAAATAAAGTTGTAGCCTTTTATTACCCACTAAAAGAGAATGGGCTTCTATGTGCTAGCGAAGCAGATCCTTCTTGGGAAAGACTCAAAGCTTGAAAAGGGTTTTTGAAATTTGAGTGAGGCTCACATAAGTGCCTGGGTTGCAGGTTGTTTTCTCCTATTATGATTGAACTCCTGCTTTAGCAGAAACTTTTAATCTTATAATTTACTCTTTGGATTTGTTACTATGTCCTTTCAAGTCAACTCAAATTTATGGTGAGCCTAATCCTAGGGTTTTCTTGGCAAGAGTTATTAAGAGGAGGTTTGCCATTTCCTTCCTCTGATACTGAGAGAGTGTGACTTGCCCAAGATCACCCACTGAATTTCTATGGCTGAGCAGGGATTTGAACCCTGGTCCTCTGGAGTCTTAGTCCAATGCTCAACCAAAACACCACTCTGACTTTCACTTCTTCAGATGCATGAAGTATAATTTTCAAGTGTAAGTATACATGTATATTGCATATAGTGTGGATTGGTGGGATCAGAATAAAATGGATACAGAAAAGGCCAATTTTATTATTAATATTGGTTATAAAACATTGTCATAAGCATCTTGAGCTTAAATATTATAATCCATGAATCTGAAGATTGTAACTACAAGATGCTGCATGCACAACTGACATGCATTTGAAAAAGATGCTGCCCTACATTTTAAAAAGTCTGTTACCCAAATCCAATTCCTAGTCCAAAGTGACATAAATCCATTGAACCAATCACTGAACAGTAAGCCAACATTCATATACCGGTAATTCCCATTGTTTCAATGGGCCTATTCTTGCTGGAACTAGCAACTGGATTTAGGCCTACATCATAGACCTAGATTCTCATCTCAGAAATATTGTATGGTTAATTATTAGCTAATCCAAAGAGGAGGGGAAATACCTAGCAGCAAATGATGATGCTAGTTGTATTGATATACAAACACCACTCCCCTCTGGAGGGGATCCAATGTTAACTGGGTTTCTGTTGCCAAACCATGCTGTACATTGACTCTTTCATGATAGTTAGAATGCTTTCACCAACCAAAGCAAACATTGCTAGGGTTTTTAGTGCATCCAAAACAGTTAAGGAGATAGTAAATGCTTTGAAGTTTGTTTAAAAAATAATAATCTTTGTTAACAATTGTCCAGCATGCTAGAAGTTTCTGTATTAAACGTGGGAGTGCATTTTGTCCTAAAGGCTGTATACCTCACTGGAGTGATCTGTAGGGAACAGCATGATGGCAGTGATGAGGTTTGCACCTGGTGGTTGGGACGTGGCAAGTGATAGGTGGATCCTGAGAGCCAAATGTGATTGGTCTAACCTTTTTTCATCTTCCCTCATCCCTTCTCTCTTCCTCCTTGCCAAGTGGATGGGTGGGAGGGAGGGAGGGAGCTGGACACATTTCTTTTGCTTGATGCTTCTGAAATTGGGCCATTGGCTGCTCACACCCATGGCCTCAAGTTGCCCCAGCCCTGCCCCATAACCATGATTTGAACTTCTTTCTGGAGGACTCTTAGTTTATCCTTCTTTTAATGGCCTTTTGGAAGTTAGTGAAAGCCTTCCTCCATTCTAGGAAAGATTTTGAGTTGTAAATATAACTTTTATTAAATGTGTGTTAACAATCCATGGTTGTTGGATTGTTTAAAAATGCTTCTTGCTGTGATTGTTCATATTGCAATGAAACAATAACTATTAAAAAAAAACTACTGTCTAAAATGTTCAGTGTATCACAAGTTGAAACGGAGAAACCTTGTACATGTCCAAAATGGAGAAAATCATTAAGATCCAAAGGCTTTAATAAAAAGCCATGTTTTTATTTGGTGCCAAAAGTAAGCCAACATTGGTGACAATAGGGTCTCTATGAGGAAGGCATTTCATAATTGGGATGCCACAACAGAGAAGGCCCTTTACGATTTCATCACATGGTGTGTTGCCCCCATTGTTGGGACACCAAAGAGGGTTCCTTCTGTATGATAATATATAATTATTATTTCAATATCCTTTATAAATTGGTGGCAGCAGCATGTTTGTCTTCCCCTCACACAACAGGCCATGTAGGGAAATGGATGACATGAAAGATTCAAGAGAAAGTGTAAATGCTACCAATCTAGAATGTAGAATCTACATCATTCAGAAAAAAGGAATCATGAAAGGGACCCACACATAGACACAAACTGTATTGAAATGTCAAATGGATACCAAAAAGATGACAAAAGAGAGAGAGTGAATCTTTAAGGCAGCTGGCTACTGAAATGTCATCTCAAACCTCCAACAGATGTTGATGAACTACTCCTCCCCTTCTCCTGTTACTGGCCAGGTTGGCAGGTAATAGATTTCGGTAACCTGGAGACCCCAGTTAAGGGTTTGATTCTCATACCTGTAGACATCATTTTGTGTTGTCTGATAGAATTATTTATGGTGAAATGCATCAGTAAAAAATCCCATTCTCAAATTGCATGAACTGTCTCTCCCTCCCTCTCTCTCACACACACATCTCTTTTTGTTGGAAAAGGACTTCAGAGTTCTCATTATTTGGGATAATCATTAACTTTTCCCTCAGTTAACAAGCAGAAGATGTCTTGGCACAGCTTTTGGTATTTTTCCTCCTGTATTTCCCTTTTGCTTCCTAATATTCCCCCTCCAAGCACAAAATAAATGGGGCATAGTTTAATTCCACATTTTGCTGCTGTTTATAAATTTCCTTTCCAGACATATTCTTTTAAGAACAGACATGGCATTGTTAAAGGAAACAAATAAACCCCCAGACATTTCAAAATGACCGGCTCATCTCCAGACAAACTGTGACACTATTAACCTCACTGTCATTTGAGACTCTTAAAATAGGTACACAACAAAATCAGTGTTGTTCAGGGGAGGTTTGTACATGACTCAATGTACATGGAAACAAATTTGTATAGTGGAAAGGTTCTTTTCTTAAAAGGGATGGAGCAATGGGCAATGTCAGATATGATCGTAGATGTTGTTAGCTCCCCTTAAGTTGGCCTCAACTTATGATGATCCTGTGGAGTCCTGCAGACTCATGCCTATGATCTCCCTAATTGAGTCCAGCCATTTGGTATGCAGTCTTCCTCTCTTCTACCCTCAACCTTTCCCAGCATTTTGTCTTTTCTAATGAGTCATGCCTTCTCATGATGTGGCCAAAGTATGACAGCCTCATTTTAGCCATCTTGGCTTCTAGAAGTATTTCCAGCTTAATCTGTTCAAGGACTCATTTATTTGTCTTTTTGGCTGTCCATGATATCCTCAGCACTCTTCTCCAGCATCACATTTCAAATGAGCTGATTTTCTTTTTATCCATTCTTTTCACTGTCCAGCTCTCATATCCATACACAGTGATTGGAAATACCATGACTTGGACTATTCTAATATTGGTACTCAGTTGTACATCTTTACTCTTTAGAATCTTCTCTAGATCTTTCATGGCTTCCTTTCCAATTCTTAGTCTTCTACTTTACTCTTGACTGCAGTCTTTGTTGTGAACTATGTTTGATCCTAGGTATCAGAAATCAATTTCCTCATTGTCTAATATTTGAATTTATGTAGATCCTCCATGATAATTACTTTTGTTTTCTTTATGTCCAGCAGTAGGCCTGCCTTTGCACTTTCTTCCTTGACATTCCTTAGTAAGTGTTTCAAGTCCAGGGTGCTTTCTGCTAGTATTACTGTGTCATAAGCATAGGTTGTTGATGTTCGTTCCTCCTATCTTCACTCCTCCTTCTTCTACGTTTGACCCTGCTCTTCATATGATGTTTTCAGTGTATAGGTTGAACAAATATGGTGATAATATGCAGCCTTGCCTGACTCCTTTGCCTATTGAGAACCATTCTGTTTCTAGATACACAGCTGCTATTGAAAATACCTACTGAACCTTATATTCTTGCCTCTGCAATACCTGGGGCCTTTTCATATTACATGATTATAGCACCATGATTCCACTTTAAGTGCCATGGCTGCATCTTATGGAATCCTAGGGTTTGTAATTTAGTGTGGCACTGGAGTGAGGCACCCAAATGAGAGCTCCAAATGCCCCTCCCTAAACTTCACTTCCCAGGATTCTGTAGAATGCTGCCATGACAAATAAAGTGGAATCATAGTGCTATAATTGTGTAGTGTGAAAGGGCTGTCAGTAAAACAGTTATGCTGGATGAACAACCCTTCAGATGTTTGTGGCCTGCAATTCTCATCATTCCTCATCATTGGCTGTATTCCATCTTGTGTTATGATATTCCTTATTATCAACATCACCACCAACATCAGCCCAAATGGTATGGGACAAAGAGATGGGAAAACATGGAACTTTGTGATATTACACTAGAGAAGTGGTGGGCAGAGGGGGGCTATTTTGGCAGTCTCCAACCCTTCTAGTCACTGAAAATTACATAAATCTATCACTGCTCTTCTTGCAAGGACATCATTGACTCTTTCAAATATTGAACCTTGTTGCACTTCCAACAATCCATAGGTTGCAGAAGCCTTCTGTGCTCCTTAACTTTGAAAACTGCCCATTTTAAACTGACTTCTGGACCCTTGTGAGGTTTGTTTTGTTTTCCACAGTCCCACCACAGATGTCCCCTCCATATATTAGAGTCTTTTCCAGACATTTTACATGCATAGTGAACATGGATGGGAAGGAAAAGGAAGGGCAGTGGCATCCAGATCAATAGCAAAACATTCTGCATTAAGGAGTGGACTTCTGGTGACTGGATTTTGCTTCTGAAACATCAGTGGCTTTATTTTCTCCTATTCACAGAATAAAACACATACCTCAAATATGCGGAGAGTTCTTGCTAAAGCTCCGACTTCTTCTTTGAGGGAAAAGATCAAGGAGATTGCATCACTTTGGCTACTGTTTTCCTCAATGTAGCTGGATTCCTATGTAATAAATGAATAGATAACTGGGTTCCATCCTTGTAAATTAGTGACACTGATGGGTTATTCATACTGCAGAATTAAAGCAATTTGACACCACTAACTGCCATGATGCTATCCTATGGAATTCTGGGATTGTTGTTTGGTGGGCCCCAGAGTTCTCTGACAGACTAGGATGACTATGTCACCAAACTACAAACCCCAGGATTCCACAGGATAGGGTCATGGCAGTTAAAGTGGTGTCAAACTGCTTTAATTCTACTGTGCACCTAAAACCAGCAGCATTTACAGCTCAAAGGAGTGACAGGAAGGCCTGACCTGGGTGTCTTTCAGTAGATAAGAAAATATTTTTGACTCCTAATATTTTAAGTACATTGAGTTGTATTAAAGGAGATTCTTCTAAAGATGCATGTGGAGATGCTGCATTTGTAAATATGTTCTACGTTTTAAATTTGGCAATCTCTTTTTTAAATTTTGCAATCTCTTTTTTGCAGCAGCAAGGACTGGAATCTTACTCAGACTCTGTATA